AGGTTAACAGCACGAGCATCGACAGGAGTGAAGAGTCCTCCACAAAGGGGACCAAAGGAAGAGAGCTCTCGATCAAAGTAGAGGGCCCCTGAGTGTCGGGCGTCTCCGTGCCTTGCCTTATAAGAGCTCTAGCAATAGTACAAGGCCCTCCAAGCAAGTGGAAAGAACCCGAGGTTTAAATGAATGGCCCCTGAACAACTGAGTGTGCCCTGGCATATGGGGCCCCGTGCAAAGCGTCTAGAGCCTTTCGGGCGAATGGGAAAAATCCGTCGATGAAAACCTGATCGATCAACAGTGCTCAGTCATGGAGGCAGACAGCGTTCCAACAGCACATTGGGCCCTACGAGAAAATGCAAAGATATCAAGGGCAACGTGAAAAGCTCCTCAGCGATCAGATTGACCCAGCAAGTGGGCATACAGGGCCAGTCAACCAACAGAGTAATGCCTCTAGACAGCGCAATGAATCCCAAAGTTTCCTCCAAGCAACACTTTCTCAATTGGCGAAAAATGAACTTTGTCTGCTTATGAACTATTTACTTTTGCGAACAGTTGTTCTCGATCGTCTGTAAGCCCGAAGGCATCCGATTTTGTTGTCTTTTTGTTGTAAGAAAACTGCGTCCATCCAGCCGGTTATGAAACCCTTCGGAGCCTTCAGGTCCCCTCGACATGGTCCATGTGGCATGGTCCTGTGTCTTCCCTCCCCCCCCCCCCCCCCCCCCCCGCCCTGCATCTGTTACCGGCCCGAGCAGCTTTAGCAGCTTAATGGATGGGACCCGCCAAGAGCATGGGGACATCCATTCCAATAAGAAATACTCACGACGCAATGTGTAGGGTCCTGGACGATCGAGTGCGCCGGAGCAGGTTAACATACAGGGCCCCCATCAAGAGCGAAGGGTCCTCCATTCAAATAGGAAGTACCCAAGGCCCGATGTAAATGGTCCCAAAATGATGAAATGTGCCCGGGCAGCTTATCAGAAGAGGTCCGGTAAGAACGTAGGCCCTCCATTCAAATAAGAAGCACCCAAACCCAGTGCGGAGGGCCCCGAAAGATGGACTGTGCCCGAGCAGATTATCAGGTAGCCCAGAAAGGAGTGTAGGGCCCTAAATTCAAACACCAAGACCAAATATATAAGGGCCCCGAACAATCCATTGTGACCGAAGCGGCGAACAGATGGTGTCCCCGACAAGTGCGTAGGGCCCTCCATTCAGATGGTAAGTACCCAAGACATAATGTGGACGGCCCCGGATATTCGAGTGTGGTCGAGCAGGTCAACAAATGGGACCCCGACAAGAGCTAGGGCCTTCCGTTCACATGTGAAATACCCACGACACGATGCAATCGAATAAATGGGCCCCGAATAATCGAGTGCGCCAGAGCGAGTTAAAAGATAGGGCCTCCGAAAAGAGCGGAGAGCCCTCCATTCCAAAAAGGAAGTACCCAAAACGTAGATGCGGTGGTCCCTCGCGATCGAATGGTCCGAGCATTTTATCGGAAGAGGCCCCAACAAGAGCGTAAGGCCCTATATTCAAGTAAGAAGTGCCCAAAACCCGGTGCGGGGGTCCACCGAAAGATGGCGTGTATCCAAACAGGTTATCAGATGACCCCGATAGGAGCAGAGGGTCCTAAATTCAAGCACCAACAACCAAAGTGCAGGGCTCCCCGAGCAATCCAGCGTGGCCGAGGAGACGAACAGAGGGTGCGCCGACAAGTGCGTAGGGCCCCATTCAAAAAGCCCATGCCCAAGGCTCAATGTAGACGGCCTCGAACGTTCGAATGTAACCCAGCAGGTTATCAGATAGCCCCCCCCCCCCCCCCCACCCTACAAGAGCGTACCAGACCCCATTCGGAAAAGAAGCATCCAAGACCAGGTGTGGAGGGTCCCTGAACGACTGAGTGTGACTATGCAGGCCGTCAGATAGGCCTCCGACAAGAGTGAGGTCCCTAAGAAAGTGACATAGCATTGGAAGCGCCCTATACCAATGTAGAGGCCCCATGAGTACATCGCAAATGTGTTGGTAAGTTAATCGAAACCCACGTAAAGGGTCTCTGGACAAGCGAGAATACGCGGCAGGTTAAGATATTAGACCCCGGCTATAGCCCACAGAGCCTTTCTGGCGAGTGGAAAGAATCCGTGGAAGGGCCCGTGACTGACAAAGAGTGCCCCGGCACGCTAGCAGGAGGGGCCCCAACAACAGCGCAGGGCCTCCGAGCAAATGCAAAGAAATGGAGGGCAACGTGGAATGCTCTTTAACGACCGAAATGATCGTGGAAGTGGTGATATAGGTCCCCCGGAAACAGCATGGAACCCCCTGGCAGTGTGATGCAGCTTTAAATTTCCAGTTCACAACTTTCCCAACCATTTAAAAATTTGCTTGACCTCTCATAGGCCTTTCACTTTCGTTTACAGCTGTTCTTGGTCGCATGGAAGTCCAGAGATATCCAATTTTGTTGCATTTTGTGTTAAAAAAGCTGCACCTGTTCGGCCAGCTATGGGCCCCCTCGGAGCCGGTGGGCCCCTTCGGGGCCCAAGAGGGGGCCATGGCCCGTGACCCCCCCTCTGAATCCGCCCCCGACTTACAGAAAAACACAAATACATGGCCAATTTGATGTATTTGTAGCTCGCAGAGGCCATGCTAACACGCAATATATTCAACGAGAGCCACAAAGCGACGAAATGTTCGCCACCAACATCAAATACTTCTCCTTGCCCTTCAACAGTGCCCTTCAACTTACTAGGTAACCCGCACAGGAGCCTCGATGGCTGCTGTAAGATGGTGTCGACCTTTACTAAAAAGCTTTTGTCCTACATATTTCTTTACATCTGTAGTGATTTTCGTATTATGTCTCATGCTTTTCTAATGACGCGTCTTGATCAGCGTCTGTCAGGTACTGGGAAAAGAGTCACCGGATATGAATAAACCGATGAAGGCCTCATCCAAGAAATAAACTACACATGTGTGTCTAGTATGAATTGTTAGGTGTATTCTGCGACGCTGGCATGTCACTTTGAGTGTAACCCAACCTTCTTGGTTTGCGAGTCTCTTCATACCGCTGAGATAAATCGTGCAGCGAGTTTGACACAGACGGAGCAGGCGAGTGCGCGAAACGCAGACGTGTGTGGGCAACCCTACTGATATCATGCACGTCCGCGTGTTTCGTTTTATTATCTTGTTTTTAAGACATCGTTTGGATTGAGTGTTCCTTGTTTAATTTGTGTAATGGTGTGTGGTGTTATCCGTTTCGAGCCCATTTTATGATGTACGACTTCGATAATGTAACAGTGTCGGCCTTCTGCGATCGGTCCGCGAAATCGTCCCTTGCCGGCCGCCACCCCCGCCCCCTCCCCCCCCCCCGGCCGTGGATCGTCTTGCAGTGCTCGTGAAAAACCGTCGCTTCTCCGAAATAAGAAATGCTAGGGACACGTTTTTGGTGTCAACACACGTGCAGTGAAAGCTTAATAAGCTGCCAAAGATTTTAGCGCTGCTGCCCGATACTCGGGAAATACCACCTTACACTAGAATCATGAAAAGAGAAAAGCTTGCGCCGCTAACATAACGAACAGGTTTACATTGGCTACTGTACACACAAACAGCATCGTGCACGACACACTTCTTAAGCTTTTGTGCATATTACGCAAAGGCTTTAAATACATCATAATTAAATCCAACAAGCACAGCCTCCATCCCCCACAAAACATCAATAAGGCGAACTGAGCGAAAGCAAACGACACGCAGCGACGCAAGTCAAGGTTGGTGAAGTTATTTTGTCTTTTCCGCGCCTCGTACTTGGCACGTATCCAAAATGAACCTATGGCGATGCACAAGGATGATAGGGGGCTGGGTCCGTAAGGTCGTGCAGAGAATATGTTGCCACACGTTTTCTGATAATCCAACGACCCAATACCAATGATAGGAATCAGCCCGTCTGGTCGAAAGGCGTACTTGGAAATAGATAGCATCCAATGTGGCAAATTGCTCCCCAAAGCCCCACTTGACAGCTGAAGGATTCGCGAAACATTTGACAACATCGGTCGGCTCCCAAATCTGTTCCAAAAACAATGCATGAGTTAAAGCAAAATGCCATGAACGATAATGACCTGGCATAAGCATGTGGCCGTGGACAATTGAGTGGATCACTGTTTCACATCACTATCGTCATTCACCGAATCATTATCACGTGAAATAAACGGAACTAAGGTATATTCTTAACAACTCTTTCTGGCCATTCTGGGATCGCTTACCATTTTTACGTCGTATTTGAATAGAAAATAGATGAGGGATGTGCACCTTATGACTCATATGGGTATTCTCCGATGATAATCGAATAATACATATTGGCATATTAAGCCTCCAAAAATATGTTGAAGTGTTGAAGTTTGAGTCCCCTGTCATGCATCCTTTCGCTGTCAGGCTCCCAAACAAAAATATCCTGGCAATAAAGACGCAATCGTGTGATTGCGGGTGCGGATGCGTTTGCCCCACCACTATCATATCCGCTCTCGCCGCATCGCCGTTTCCGAGATCCGTGATAGAGCCGACTTCAAAATTCCGAGCTCCAAGGTAACGTTCTTCTATCAGCTAATAGGAAACGCAGGATTTCGAGAACTTTTGAATGAGCCTAGTTTGCCGTTCCAGCACTAAATAACAGCAAAGTGCGGCAGTGGCACCGCCACCGTTGGTGTTGGACACCCCCGCACCATCGCGATTGGCTATGCAGGACTGTCCGCGGCGTATTTTTTATGCAGTGATCGTCACCGACGGCGACGACATCAGCCGTCCGCAAGTCGACAACTGGCGCGGCGCCGGGCTGCGGCCGCGCTGTTTCCAGCGCCCACTTCAAACACGCTGTTAAAATTGCACGGCGGCTATCTTCAAACATCAGCAGCGACGCCACGCGAGCCTGGCAATGTTGCTGCCTTACAGTTAACGAACCGGTAGCGCCCTGCAGGGCGTTTTTGCGACTGTCGGTCCCTGGGCGCCGCCGCCGCGTGCAGCGCGGCATGGTTGTTATGGAGCGCACGGGTTGGGTAAGCTAGCGGGCCGTGGGCTTCAGGTACATGCTTCTAAGCCCATGCGCTTACCCACTCCATGTGTGTGCTCATGCGTGGATACACATTTCGGGTGGGTTACGGGTTCGATGGTGCACACATTTTCGAAAAATTTCGGGAATGGGTGACACATTTACGAAACATCGGAGACATGCTTCAATGCACGCTACGCGATGTTGCTGACTGCACTTTTCTTAGTCCTAGCTGGCTCCATCAACACTTATTTGCAATTATTATCGCAAGAGATTAAATCTGGGTGTAAACTGCCCTACCACATTTCCATCATTTATACATGAAGTGTTGGAAACGTGCTGCCGGTGAAAATGCTGGGTAACGGGTGAGTGCAACCGATTGGGAATGGGTAGCTGGTGGGTGTCGGCACAGCCCATGGGTAGCTGGTGGACGTCGGCACAGCCCATGGGTAGTTGGTGGGTGTCGGCACAACCCATGGTTAGTGGGTGGGTGTCGGCACAACCTATGGGTAGCGGGTGGATGAGGCGAAGGAACCCATGAAAGCTTCTAGTCAACTGGCGCCCACATGTCTTTAACTATGAAACGATGACGCCAGTAAAGAAACCGTACGCCACCCGACAGCTTTATCTTGTCGTTTTCGACGGAATTGCGTATAAATGGGTAAATTCCATCCACATGAACGCTCAGTTATGCTATACAGTGTTACAGATCCGTGCTAACAGACCTCTTACCTAGATGTGATTACTCTTTCCGATTTTAGATATGAGGTGCGATAAATGCGTTGATCTGTGTTGTGCTAATCTCTGGCTGCTCAGTCTAGCCATATCCTTTGTGTCGTTGAGATATATGTTGAACGCAAGCATTGGCTCAAAATCGAGGCTATGGAGCTCGGCCGGCGCGCGCAGGCGCCTGCGCTCGGTCGCGCACCAGGCACCAGCTCCGGAAGGCAGGCCGGAGGCCCCCCCCCATCATGTCACGTGACCGACCGGGGTCGACGGCGCCGGGGCAGGCGGGCCCCGCACCACCGGGCGTCACCCACACCCACACACACGCTACATCATGATACAAAATGAAGATGTGTCGGGCAGTTTAAAACGATGTCCACTGCAAATAAACGATAGTGATTCCGGGTGCTCTCACACCACAAAACGAAATCAAGTATTGGGTCTGGCTGTTTTTTCGCAATGTGTACTGCTTAGACGCGGGGAAACATGTCATGTTTCAGGTAAGACATAAATCTTCGGATGGTTGATAGGCGGAATAAAATGCAAATCAAACGCCAAATGCTAATACCCATGGTCTAGCGTACTTTTCTAGCACGTCTTGGAGTCTGATCAAGTTTTATGTCTATACAGGATATGCCAAGAGGGCAGCCATTTTCCGTGTCCTACGGTCCAAAAATCACCGGCGACATTTCCAAACGGCGAGAAGTTTGTTTTCACACGGCTCTTATTGACAGACCTGGACGAAATCTGCTCGTCCGTGAAATGTTTGTGGGGTTGTGCCACACCACCAGTCAGTGAATGTTATTAAGGCATGTTCGCTAAACCCTATCTGGTATAAGCATGCTAGGTGCGGTACCTTAAGCCCGTTACCTGTGGATGCAAGGGTACTCAGACGACGCAACTGTTTGACTGGCGTGACCGAGATAATGCAATAGCACTGCACGAAAACATAGGCTGAATGTTCGTGGCACCATAGAAGCAACTTGTGAGTGAAACCATTTCGTCTATGTACAGCCAACGGACTGGGAAAGACTGGGCCGAAACAATGATGGCCGTTCAACAAATAGACGGAATGAACATCAAGTGGCCCAATTAATTACGCTGCACCCGCGGCTCGTGAGAAGGTGAACTCACTTGACCCAGCGGTCTCAATCGACAAATAAACTCGTACTGTGCCATGTCCTCGATTTCAAGACCCCGTTTCCAGCCAGTCGTTTGTGGTAACATAGTCCCTGGGCTTCGCAGTGAGTCAATGGCGCTATAATCCGATATACAACGATCATTGCTGCCAGTCACATGAGCCAGACGCTATCGTAAAGGCACCTGCTTTATATTGCATGAGACTGAACCAATCTCGTCTGCAAACAAAGCCAAGACCCTTATGTACTTCGCAGACGGCTGGGAGGGACGACTGTCCCCTTTATCCGTCCGCTAAATAAGCCCGTATTGCCAAGAGGAGGCCAGCCAAGCACTCTCAACTTTTGTTATCAGGGTGCAAATTAGTCTACGTGGATAAAGACGGCTATCAAACACGCGTGAAGCACTAACGAGACCTTGACAGGCGAAATAAATGCATCGCATGCTATTCGTTGCCGTTACTGCCTCAGCATCAAATCCTCATCTCATTCCTCCCCTCTATGTCTTCTCTGTCTCTTCTCTGTCTCCTGTCCTCTTCCCCCTCCTTGCTCCCCTTTTCCCAACTCCCTCTCAATCCCATCAACTAGTTAACTCTGAATATGAAAAACCAGCAAGATTATGCCGGCACAGCATTCCAATGCCGTGACTTGAGAATGACGACAACAATCCAAGGCAATGCATTGTCGTGGCCAAAGAGCATTGTGGACAGGAAAACAGACTCCACATGCCTTACAAGTGTGTTCGGGTTTGGATAGTATAGACATAAACTACATGGTATAGGGATCGGCGCCGCATAAGAACTGATCGGTTTCTTATCATCGGATTCATCGCACTTAGACGGGCAGGAATATGTCTACCATGCTCTGGGAATGACACCTTTTACGCGTAAACCCTGTGAGCTACTAGGAAATGTCCGCCGCAGGGCGGCCGTGCCGCCGATAGGGGGGGGGGGGGTGGGGGGGGGGGCGACGATTCAGTTCAACGTCGCATGTGTTCTTCGCTCCGGGAGATAGTGGGCGAAAATTACGGCTTGCATGCGCTGATCTAAATAAACAGAGAAACCCAACACTGCGACCTGGATTTTCTGGAAGTGGCTGGCTCGATCTGGTCGTCACTGGATTTCGAGGGAAGCAAACATTGCGACGCATCGCTATGTTTATTCATCACCCCGATGCTTTGAAACGGAGCGAGGAATGTTATATGTCTTTGGGCAAAAGAGATGAGGAATACCCTGAAAAACATTTGTCAGTAATAGGAAATGGCGGCAGCAAAGTTTGCTATAAATGAGCATTAACACGCGCCCGGGCGGCCGGTTAAATATCCTTCGCTCGGGTGGGGGATCAATTTGACCCCCTCCCCCTGGGAACTCAGAAACTAAGGGGGCTAGAGACACCGGATTTATAGGGTGCTCAGTCTTAAGGTGAACTCACCTAGGTCAAAGTTTGAGGTTCCTAGGTCATGATCTTCGGGTCAAATAAGGTCAAACAAAGTCAAATTTCAGGTTGGTCTCTAAAGGGCTCCTGGAACCTGGATAGCTTTTCTAAGCAAAAGGTTGCATGCTCATCTAAGGTCAGTGTATAATGCGGTTTCTTTTATCAATAAATTCGAAATGAGCACCAGATACTATCGCATACGGCAAGCCTTAGAGTAATATGGCAGGCTGGTCTTGGCCTTAGTCCGACCTTCATACCTGACACTAGGTCAATGTTATTTGTTTATTCAAATGTTGTGTTGCCTAAGAAACTGTCTCAGAGATGTGTGGCTTCGTCTAACACCCTGTCTTTGGATCAGATTGAACGATGCCCTAGACATTGCCTTCACTGAAATCATGGCCTCAATTTAACCTGCCATAGGTCAGTGACCTTAACAGGTACATCTAACTTTGTTATATTAAACGATCCGCTATTCAGTTGCCTACAGCTATGCAAAATGTGGCGCGACTACGCCTTGCCGTTCGGAAACCATCACTGAAACAGAACCCCCACCGAGCGCATGTTAAAGAAGGTTATCGCACTGAATAAACCAGCGGGAAACAGGTGAAGCAGCCGTTCGAAACCGTGGCCACATCTCGGCAGCGAGCGGTCGCAGCCACAAAAAAATTGTCATCCTTCGAAAGGAAGCTGAACAAGGAATCGTGTCACTTCATGTGTGCACTAGCACGTGTCAAGCATCACATGCACGGAAGTGGTCAAGATAGATTCCCCGTTTTCGACAATTTTCGACGACATGGCTGCCTTAAAGACTTGTGCGATGTAAGCTTGGGCTCAGCGATGACGAACCAAGAACTCAGTGCAAGATGTCATTGTTTTACGCAGCGCATTTGCGTGCGCTACCATAAAAGCCTGCACCGTTTTGTCAACCACGATTTCAGTGCGACAAATCAGCACTTTCCGTCGGCTGATTCTTAAGACGCTTTAGAAGTGCCAGCAAGCGGTGACGTGAATTCAGATGCACCCACAGTAAATTGCATTCAGGCTCTTCGCACATAATTGCAACGTCAGGCGGGCTTTGGCGCCGCACCGCCTGGTCATAATGATGCGAGCGTGACTCCCTGTGCTGCTGTAACGTTACGTGCGTGGCTGACACCATCTTTATTTAAGAATGTCCTATCGGTTTATGGTGTACATTAACAAACAATGGCAAGAATATGCTGCCTGCGGCAGTCGGCTACGGAAAGAGTGGGAAGTGCTGCCAGTGGGTGCAGCACACTTTTCGTTACAGTCGTAACGGATCTATTCCGTGGCGTCAAGCGGGTAAGTTTGCCTGCAGATCGGGTAGCAGTGTCACTGTGTCGCTGCGCCTTGGTTTCCCATCGGCTTGGTTGCATGACGATGTGGCAAGACACCTCTGTACGCTATGAGAACGTTTGCCTCGGACTTTGATATGCGTCATATCCGTCTGCTTACCTTGTCCCCTTTTTACAGTTATTAGCATGACCTGCTTAGCCAGTGGGTTTGTTCACTTGCCTCGAGCGCAATGGTAGGGGGTGGAGAAACGGGCGGTTAGCATCTCTGTTTTATTTCAGTCAAAGCGTAAGTGTCTCAGGCCTGACGACGACTGGCTTGCGATGGTTTGCCGGCCTGGCCAAATGAATATGTGGTACTCAACTTTCTTTCGCTATGGGGCAAATCAAAGGTGACCTGGCATTGAAGCTGGACGGGATACTTATCACAGCATAGAGCGGTTGTTCTCGACAGGGAAAATGATTTTCGGTGCTGTCACCGTATTTCTTCATATCAGTTTTTGGTTAAATCGTCAAGTAAAAACTGATATACAAAGGCGGGTTTTCCTCACCATATTTCCTGGCACAGCGAGTGATGCGATGCACCAATAGACTGGCTGATTAGGAAATGTCAAAAAGGACAGTCTGCCAGCATCAAAATAATCTCAGCAGTCGCCTAGCGAAACGGGCGAGACACACTTTTACTCGCAAATTTACTTAGGGTGATGCACAGCATTACGGCTTTTAGCGCCGTGACAAAATGGTGCTGTAAAATGTCAGTGTTCTAAACGCCATAGGGAAGAAATCAAAAGCCATGCTATAACGCTTCGTCGACGTCGCGGGTTAGTAGCTGTTTAAACAGAATGTTTCAGACTTTCGTAGCATTTATTGCACAAATATGTTGACACGTAAGTGTGCTGTTCATAGTACAGAACACACAGGTTGGAAAAAGCAAGGCAAATGAAATGTATCACTTTTATGGTGGTGAGAAGGGAGTCAAACAAGATTTCTGCTGCAGGAACGCTATTTAGAAACAAAATTCTGGGCTATTGAGGAGAATTCCGAGAAACACAATGGTATTAGGGATAAAAGCCTACGCGTCTGATCTAACAATAAGTGAGAATAACACAAAATTAGATACTTAAGTTCATCGAGAGCCCAAGAACCTAGGCGAGAAAAAATGCAAGCTTTTCTCTTTTCTTTCGCTCTCTTAGTAGCGAAAGAAAACAGAGCTGGGAAGAGAGCTTGCCTAGTTCTTGCGTGAACACCGCCGTCCGCGGTATTGAATGCGACGACCAAACATGCCTGGCTGGAACTTTACCAACCCTCGCATCCTCCAGCATGGAGTCAAATGTTCTGCGGCCCAACCGTCAGGACAAATTGCACCAGTCAGCCAGTTCGTGGTGCGCGCAACAATTTCTGTTTAGCTCGTGTATTCGGCACTTGAAGCCACCCGTCCACATCACCCGGTGTGTTTCCTCCTCACGTACTGACCGGGTCTCGGGGGCGGCTGCGACAGGTGCAGATGTTGCACTGCATTTCGCAGCACCAGGGCAGCGGCGGTGAGAACACGCTGACCGATAGCTTCTACGTGGCCCAGCTGATACGTCAGCAGCGGCCCGACCTCTTCAAGCTACTCTCCGTGATGCCCTTCGAATTCTTCGACGTCGGCGTCGAGAGCGAGCAGTACCAACGACAGCCCTTTCCACAAGGTCCAGGAGCACACGATGTTCAGGCGAGTGGGCCGCTGCAGACGCCGTGGCCAGCACGACAGCCCTGCGCGCATCGATCTCATGGGCCACGTGTGTCCGCTCGCGCAGGCCCCCGGTGCTACACGAGCCGACCGGCCAGCTCCAAGCACTCACTCTCGTGCACCAACATTTGTTAGTCCCTTGCATTGACATTTGCCAGTATCGTGCGTTGACATTTGCCACTATCGTGCATTGACGTTTGGCCAGTCTCGCGTGTCGACATTTCATTTGGTGTATCCAGTTCCGATAGCGTTCTCAGTGTTTTGATGGCCAGTTTGGCATGTCCAGCACCAGTCGCGCCTTGCGACTGACGTCGGATTCGCGTCGTGCCGAGTGACGTTTGTCGTGCGTCTCTCCACGGCAGTCATCGTCACTCGCACAAGCAGTGTATCCCATGCGCCCCGGTCTGAGAGCCCGATGCAGGTCACAGTTGCTGCTCTGCCTAGCTTTGGGGGTCCGCGCCGCCAATGATTTCTGAGTGTGTTGTTAGGCCGGCGGAGACGCAAGACAGGCATGTTTCGAGAGCTTCAAAATCACTTTTGGTGCCCCCGCCCCCTACCAATCGTCTTTCATGAATGGCGCCTCTAGCGCACGCAGCCGCGTCGCCGCCTGTAAGTGAGCATAATGGTGTCGTGTGGCCGACAACAGGGACAACAGAGTTTGTAATCCCGGGGCATGGAAAACGCCAGGGCCAATCATTCATCACCCCGCGACATGAGACGAAAAACGGTCTGAGGCGTCGATCTTGAATTGCATTGTGCAGTCGTCCCAGACGCCACCCTCACGTGCGGTTAGGCTGTTCAGCATCGTCGGGAGAGGAATGACAGCCAGAGGGCTCACTTCGACGGCTTAGCATCACTCCAGTTAAGGGTCCCCTGATGACGGCAGTGACCCAGTCGTGGAGTAGTAGGTGAGGAAAAATCAGGACAAGCCCTGAGGCGCCCGCTCCGTTTGATTGTTCTGGATCTGCTGCAGGACGGACAGGGAAGGCAAAGTGACACAAGTGTGCTTCAACAACCCAAGCCGCTCCTACCGCCTGAACGTGCCGCTCGAGTCGGTGAAGCCCATGTTCGAGGGACTGAAAATGTTTCAAGACCTGTCCTGGCAGAAGAGAATCATGTGCTACAAAATGGTGAACGGTATGTTTTAATTGACCCTTGACCCGGCGAGCTTTTTCCCACCGTCCTTCGGGAGTATTCGTCGCCTTTGCACTACGAGGGGAGAGCCCCAGACCCCGCTACTACGGGGGGGGCCTCTTGAAAACCAAGCAAGCGAAAAAGTGGAAAACGGCATTGACAAGCTGTTGTTGAACGACGCATCGTTTATGTGTGATTTAACAACGGCTAATCTCAAAAGCTAAGTATGCTGCGACAGTGCGGAAGACGGTTTTGGAGAGACATTGAAAAACTCTGTCAAATAGACATTTGTGAACATTGACACATGCGGTCTGTGATAAGGTAGACCAAGTCAAAAGTGTAAAGATGAATTGTTGCATTGCCCCCCCCCCCCCCCCCCACCCCCCTGGGCCATATCCAGAACGAAACAACCCACGTCAACCGGGGAAAGTTGCATTTAAAAGGCTTCTCACATGTGTTAGATATGTACCAAAAAGGGAGATGTTCCACATTGGAGGATATTGAAGCAAGCAACAGGTATGCCGAAATAAGCTGGCTTATAACTACTGGTATACTTTTAAGTGAAGTAGAATGCTGCAGACAACACAGTTTCTGTATTTAGTACATATGCTTTTAATTTCGTCGTTACTTGACTGGGTCATCGTGCCTCGCACAATATTTATTGAGAGCCCATTGGCAGCCATTACATCTGGAAAGCGTGCTCACGAACGCCAGATATTAGCGAATCGACAATTACATCTGTCGTGGCCTTGAATGCCGCACGGACAATGGAACAGCGAGATTTAAATGACGTTTTTATAGCGTCATGGATGCTTAGGTGACCTTGAAGAAGTCTGCACAAAATGGTGGCACATCTTTGCCGGCGTTTTGCTCAGAAACTAGAGGAGCTTAGGTCTTAAGAAAAGCAGGGCGCATGGCTGTGAACTGCACCGAATGTTCTTCAAGATGGCCATTTCAGATAAAAACCACATATGAATTTGAGACATTACCTTTAAGCTCCCTAGCGTATGGTCCTTACAAACAGTCAGATCTAGTTTGCAGTTAAAGTTTGGCCTAGCTTGACCTAATATGACATGATCTTAAAAAACCGACAGAATGATAGTTGTGCACTTTGTCATGATAATGTTAGGAAAGGGAGGCTAGGAAACCTCTTTGGAGTGCAATGCCTGCAAGATGTAGGCGTTATTTGTCTCTTTTAAGCAAATGCCATCGAAATAACCTCAAACAGTCGTCATAGTTTCCTGAACCATCTGTCAGGAGCTTTTAATCTTTATAACGTGTATAACATGTAGAAATGATTTTATCTGATTTACCTACATTTTAGCACCGTGCTATAAAACGTTCAGAGGCTACTTCCGAAAATCCTTAGGAAGCTTCTGAGCCCCCCCCCCCTTCGTATAAAGGAAGGGTTAGCATCGATTTGGACCGACCTGGTGGAAGATCATGTTCCCAGCCAAGCTTTTCCTTGTTGAAATAAACTATGTACGACCATGAATATATACATATGTGTGTGCCTCTGTACTTCAGCGTCACGTAAGTCGACGTGTTACTAAACGTGTTTCAAACCATTTCATGCTCTGTCATTACTTCACAGCTTTCCTCGGCAAATTTTATGTAAGCCCGCACAATTTTCATGCTTTCCTGGGCCGTCAACCAAACTTGAGAGCTAAGCCTGACGAATTTTGAAACCTTTAGGAAGAGCGTTGGAGTATCCAACAAAGAGCTGCAGGGTAGTTATGTTTGATAGCCTTGGGAAAATTTGATTGGTGCAAAAATCCGTCGGCAGCGGGCCGTGTTCAAGACTGTCGGCATTTGGCCCGCTCCCGCAGGCGACGTGCTGGTCTTCAACAACCGACGCGTGCTGCACGGCCGGCGGGGCTACACGGTCACCGCCGACAGCACGCGCACGCTCGAGGGCGGCTACATCGACTGGGACGAGGTCCTGTGTCGCTACCGCACAGCTTCCGACGCGCTGCTGCGGCCGCCGCCTCGGCGCTAGAGCCGGCGGCCGCGCGGCACTGCGATGCGGACGGCTCGGTGCTCCGCTCGGGAGGCCCGCGGCTGGGGACATTGGGGCGCTCGAGAGGCCCACGGCTGGGGACACCGGCCGGTGTTGGCACGGGCGTGGGGGCGAGCCCGCTGTGCCGCTTGGTCGTTTGGCCGGCGCGCTCGCCCAGCGCCCTTACCATGGGGCGAGAGCGGGATCAAAACGCGTGGTTCTGTGGGGTACGGGTGGTCCTTGCCACCAGCTGTTGGGCGCTGACTAACTGTTCGGGCCATTTATCGTGACGAAAGTGAAGGGAAGACTGACTGACTTGGATCCTACGCTTGGTTGAAGCTCGCGATGGTGGTCATGCTGAGCACTGTGGGTCAAAGTACGTCAATGTTTATATTAGTATTGGTCGCACGCATGGCCGAGTAGCGTCATGCTCCCTCATGTCATCGCGGGTCATGTAACCAAACCAGTGGGTTTAAGCAGATCGTTGCAGACAACTTGCCGCTGTTCGTGACTTATCGGACTCGGGTGTTCTACCCGGAATCTACCTTGGGCGTGACCGATAAGTGTTTTTCAGGTCCTTTGGAACGACTCCACTGTGATCCGGGTAGCTTTAGTGTTTTGTGGTTCAACGTACGCGCTTCGATGCGAACTCGCTCAACCCTTTGTCGTGCTGCATATCACGGCATTGAAGTAAGCGCTTATGTCCCACGCTTTTGGCGTTTTTGGCTTTTCACGGATGGAGCAATTTTACTTTGGGCGCGCTGTATGTTTACGCTGTGCTGCGGTACTGGGTGCAATTTTAATGCATTGTGCGTGTTGTTGCGTGAATACTAAATGCCTGAGCTATCTACGGCCTGAATATTTGAATAGGTTTGGATTGCACAAAGACCGGCAAGAATGTCAACTGTTCACAATAACAGAAAAGGACGACTTCATATGAAACAATATAGCAGGAAACCACGACTCCGTCTGAAACAAAGCCGCAACAAGTATGTTATAAGTACGGTCTGCACTTTCCCAGCACACAACCGATACGACTATCAATCCAGGTCATATGAATACCACAGGAATCCCAGTTCTCGCGATGTGTACATAGTTTGGCTTAAAAGCCTAGTTACTCCTTCTTTGTGTCGTAGCTGATGCTAAGCATGAGGGATTAAGGAGGAGTTAAGCACTGCATTGCTGGCACTCGTTCAAAGGTGTCGAGGCGCTCAATGCAGCTTTTGAATGAATAATGACATAAGATATGATGGCATTAACTGGAGCTCAACGCGACGCATGCTGAACTGATAGCCCTCGGCTACCTTTAACGAGCAGGAAAAAAATGACGGACAAGTTTCAGGCTAACAGCTCTGCTTTCGTTCTTAAAGACGACTTAAGCCGTTTGCGTCGAGCGTGTGTCCCCTTGGTCTCGAGTAATTATGTCATCCATCTCGTTCAAACCATGCCACGTGTTGCACACCACTGCTCATATTTGTTTTCAACCTACGCTTTTTACATGTCTGCGTGTTATTTTAGTAGGGTTTTTTCCTTTTGCATACGCTCAACCAGGGGTGTTAATTTTGACGCTATCGAGGGTCTGAGCTCCCCAATGATGACTTGAGCCCCCCACCCCCCTCTCCAATACTCCTCTGAGCCCACCTAATACATATGGGCAAACCGGTAACACTGGGTCTGAGCAATGCAGAACATTTATCTGGACTGCTGGTACACAGAGTATCTAAAAACAAATGGCAACATCATGCTTGTTTCGTATCAAATAGTTTCACATAGGTACCAAAAGTTTTTCATATTGTTAATCCTCTTATAACTTGGGCCAGCCTGCGAATGTGGCTAGGTTTGCAACCGATAACACTTGCGGATCGAAAAAGTAATATGCACCTGCTCTTCAAGCGCCGGTTGTCTCATAGCACAGTTCACCAACGTTTTCGTCAACAGCAGCGAGCGTATGTATCACGAAATCGTGACTGTGGTGATACTAGACTGCAAATTTGATCGAAAACTACGAGTAGCAAGAGTGCTAGTTATCAAAGATTTCACATATGTCAAATCATGACAAAAAGACGCCCGAGATTGCTCGCTGGCGGCCAAGGATTCTCAACAGCTGAACCTGCTGCAAGTGATCGATGCCCGGTCGATCTTGTCAACGGTGGTGCGTGCCATCTCACGTCTGAAAGTGACCTTGAGCTCTTACGGGCTCGTTGGCCAAACCGTAAACTAAATTTTATGTTAACCTGAAAACTTACAGCACAATTGGGAGAGCTAGCTCACTCAGTGTTCTGGGTGTTCGTTTTAACAGGAAAAAGGAACGCATCGGCATGACTACGTCCACACGATTTAACGTCAAAAGATGCATACCCCACCGCCTGCATTTGTGAGAGAAGGACCACTGTCTTAGGTCTATGGTGTGTGCCGAATTGCAATGCATTATGATGAGGGCGAACAAGATTAGGTACGGGCCTTTGCTTGAATGTATCTTTAGGCTGATCGTCAGCGCAAAGCAGTGCTTGTGTGAGCCCTAGCCTCGCCATTCTATCGTAAAATTCAGGGGCGGTGGCTGCATTTTGCGGCGGTGGCTCAACGTACCGCAATACTCGGCATCGTCTACCTCACGCGCGGACGTCATCTGACCTTGAGCGCGGCCGCTGCTACCGGCCTTGGGCTATCCCATTTAGGGACAAGTGGCGAACGCCTTAAGCAACTCCGCCCCATCCCGCCACTGGTGGGTACACCGGATGACGCCAGGTGCTGCAACTCAACTGGGCTACCGAACCGGGTTTAAAGAACATTTCTGGATGGGGCAATTTAAAGTCCAGCTATACAGACATAATTCACGTTGCATGTTGACTTTTTACCATTGAAATGCTGTCTCGAAGATGAACAGAGCATGTACAGGGCGTGCCAAGAAAAGCGGATAGATTCAAGTCATTCATATTTTAAATGTTTTGTTTGCTGTGCAACGCGAATAATGCATTAATGTAATGATGCAGCATCCCATGTTATTTTCCATTTGACCACTGGGCTCTCCATGTTCCTCTTATCCTGGGTGAAGAAGCACGTGCTGCACGTCCAGGCCCAGCATGGCTTTCAGACCATGGGTACATTTGCGGCCTGCCGTCTTACGTTCACGAGAGGCCATCACAGTCATCACGTCCAGCTTGCGTGACGCCGAGGTCTGCAGCACATCCCACTCCTGGTCTGCAGCACATTCCATCCCTGGTCATCAGCGCATCCCATCCCTGGTCTGCAGCGCATCCCATCCCTGGTCTGCAGCACATTCCATCCCTGGTCTGCAGCGCATCCCATTCCTGGTCTGCAGCACATCCCATTCCTGGTCTGCAGCACATTCCATTCCTGGTCTGCAGCACATCCCATCCCTGGTCTGCAGCACATCCCATCCCTGATCTGCAGCACATCCCATCCCTGGTCTGCAGCGCATCCCATCCCTGGTCATCAGCACATCCCATCCCTGGTCATCAGCACATCCCATCCCTGGTCTGCAGCACATCCCATCCCTGGTCATCAGCACATCCCATCCCTGGTCTGCAGCACATCCCATCCCTGGTCTGCAGCACATCCCATCCCTGGTCTGCAGCGCATCCCATCCCTGGTCATCAGCACATCCCATCCCTGGTCATCAGCACATCCCATCCCTGGTCTGCAGCACATTCCATCCCTGGTCTGCAGTGCATCACGTCACGGTCACGACTCCCTTCCGTTCTCCACAAACCCGGCAATCTGCTTCACTTCCTCTACAATGGCGGATCAGCGCCAGAGGAGCATCTCGTGCAATGTTCCGGTATGCAGGAATCGCTGTGATGGCACTGTGCTAAAGCGAGATCATCCTCTCGGTTCTGAACACGAAATACTCGGTGCGGAGTAAGCAGGAAGTGATCCGCGTACCTTGCGTGCTGATCACGGTGCCACCGACTGCCGGGGTCGGAAGCATAGCCGTGCTGGCCCCCAGTCGCTTGGCACGGGGGCATGTTGCTGAGCTTGAGGAACAACGTCTTGGTGGTGTTTATGCTGATGCGCTCGCTGTGAGCTGGCTGCCGCAACCAACCGCTTCTGAGCGCTGTCAATTGTCGCTGCCGCCATTAGTCCACTTCTGGGTACTGTGAAGAGCCGCTGCTGCCATCAGACCGCTTCTGGGCACTACAAGAGCCGTTGCCGCCACCAGTTCCGCTCTAAGCACTGTCAAGGGCAGCTACCGCAACCATTCATGTATGGGTACTGTCAAGGGCTGCGATAGCGCAAGAGAAAGCTGAAAGTCACCAGCAAGCGCCAATATCAGCTAGCATTACAAGTAGGAATGTGGTGAATTCACAGAAAGCCTCACATGCACACATGTCATGTTGGCTGAATGTAATAAGCGCAGCAGGAAAGGCGGATGTTCGCAAGCAGCGACGAGTTTGCATTCGATATGATCCGGGCGAACTCGATATGAAAGTTTTCTGGGTATAGGTAAGCCAGTGCACAAATTGTAGGCCCGATGCCCATTCAGATATGGATGACTTCCAGCAAGCATCAGTCGGGTCGTCATAAACTGTAGAACAAACTATCCTGCAAAAAAGTGGTTGAACTTTGTAAAACCATCTCAGACCATATCATCGAGCCTTTGGATGATGATTGACCTCAGTCACATCGCCGTCCAGGAACCGCTGATGATACTGGAGCGATGATTGACCTCAGCCACATCGCTCCGGGATGATAGCGTACCACGAGCTCTTATGGCTGCGCTGCCTTCAGTTCCACGATAAATGTCGGACGTGGCCGGGAAGCGTACTTTCATCAGCCCGAAAATGCAGAATGCACTGGTGGACCTCCTTGGCCGTTACCAATATTTTCCTGGTATCAGATTAAGTGTTTCACGAAGTGATCCAGCCCATGGGCGGTCTTGGGTCAGTTGCAGTTTATCACAGCGGGGGGAGGGCAGCGAGGACAAGCCCCCCCCCCCCCATCTTTTGAGGCGAAGGCAAAGATTCTATCGTTACTCCTCCGCCTCTACCACCAGATTCCTGTTGCCATCTGAATCAGCCTTCACAAGCGCCACTTTGTAGTGCTGTGAAGGCCAATCCGTTCAATCATCGGCCTAACAACCGCGCAGGTCAAATATACGCTCGACTACCTTCTGGATGTACGATTTGAAGTCCTAACGCGTTCAAATGTACTTCTGTCAAATGCGTCACCATCTTCGCCCACCTGCTGGCCACAGTTTAATGTTAGCTACAGGGCCGACGCTGCAAGGCCCTCCGGAGACTGCAACGCCTGGCGTGGAAGTTTTGTTGCCAAGATTTGCGAGTGCGTTTGCTCAAAACCACGTTACATAAGTTTATCACTCCTCACTTCTGACTAAATGTTGAACATTTGTAGACAAAAATGACTTGGCTGTGTTAACAAATATGTTGATCCATTTCGATCCACATCGGCGGGGCCCTTGATATCTTGATACAGACCAGAACAGATTCTGACGAGGCTTCTGAGTTATATCAAGATAGAAAAAGACCACCGACCATTGTAAGACAAGGAGCCCCGCTGATTTATTCCAGTCATTTAACGCTGGTTTCCTTCAGTTAATTGCAAGCAGAATCGATCTCCCGGTAGCCTCTTGCTTCTGTTCTAGTTGTATAGGGCAAAAATGAAAAGTATGAAAATATGCCCTCATGAACAGATGGGACATATTAGTGATTTTTAGTTGGTTGGCTGGGGGGGGGGGGGGCTTTTACTATCAGGAGACCCATTGTCAACCCTATGCCCCTCCTTGCCAAGGCACTGGCTGCGCGTCTGAATTGAGATCTAGCGGCCCGTCGGTTTGGGGGCCTTCGTGAAGTCCTTGCCCACCCCACCCAAATTCGACTACGCCACCCCTGTCCCAGATACGTAATCTCGTCCAATGAAGAACAGAAATCTCCTCCCATGGCCTCTACAATCTGCCAGTCATCTAGTCACGTTACGACGGAGATTCAGAGCCAATGAACATGGTCAATCCAAGGTCATCGCGCATGAAGGGCAGTTGGCTGCTGTGCTATATTGAATCAACTCAGTCTATTGATCACGACGATGGGCGAGCGCGCGAGCCGAATAAGCCTTACCGGAATCACGTAAAGCAGCCTGAACGAGCCGACCCGGTCCGGCCGCCACGCAGTTTGGAACCTAAGGCGTTTAAGCCTCTGATCGCAATTCGTGCAATTTCTCACAGAAGGAAGTGCCATGATTTACAGTGTGCTGCACAAGTTGTTAAGGTTTGCGTGCAAGCTGCTTCATCAGGTGGGCTTTCTCTGCAACAGGTGATATTGCGAATAATTCAACTCCTCCATTTGATTTAAATCCACGTGTGAAGCTGACAAATTCTAAAAACATGAATGTCGAAACCAGCTCCGTTCATCGACCTCACTTAAATGTGACACGAGATCCACAAGTCCGGCGGAGGAGAAAAGAAAAATCCTTCTGACGAAAACGTAAGTCCGTAGTGCGTAAATTATGGATAGGCCTGTTTTGGGGATGTTTTTAACGATGGCCGTCAAAAATCAGTAAGAAACCAGAGAAGACGGACGTGGAACCAACAGCACAGAATAGGCGAGCACACCAGCTACAACTCACTGGATCCAACAAATAATGGTAACCCTTGGATGCCCAGTACTGGGCCGGAAAACGGCCAGTATCACCTTTTTCGAAGCAGACTGTAAAGTTTTTTCTCACCTGGTTTATTCAACATTATGAATTCACTCATATGTGGGGTTTAATCGGCTCCAATAATTTCAGTACATATATAATATTGCATCGATGTATAGGGAGGGATAACTGCAAGCTCGTTCAAGTGGATCAAGAACCACGCACAGATACATACACATCACCGGAACCTGTAATCAAGAAAAGTATCACAACATAGGTGTTGGATGTTAAGTCGGTTTATTTCAAGGCATGAAAAATCACTCAGTACCCGTCATATTTTAACCGTGCGGAGTCGGCATTCTGAATGCATGCTTGCACTGGGTAACAATGATCATGTCGGCAAGGGGGCACCTTCGGCATCTGCAAAGCTGAAGATGCCGAAACTAGTATTGTTTAGGCACGAATGGCAGTGCAGTGCATCTTGTAGCAATGCAGGTGACCAAGCCTTTAAAAACCAAACACGACCATCTACGTCAAAAATTAACACGTTACTTAACATCTGCGTGAAAACATATTCAAACATCACCTAACATCTGCGTGAAAAACGTTCATACGTTACTTAACATCTGCCTGAAAAACCTTCACAGGTTACCAACATCAGCGTAAAAAAACGTTCACACGTTACTCAGCGCCTCAATCTCCCACTTAATTTCATCATCGTTTGACTAGGCCTTGCTCCGTTAACACACCCGCTTTTATCCCGAGGAGAAGGCCGTCACAATTGAGTGGGGCGCGTCACACGCATAGCGCACACTCGGGGACCCCACACACCAGCAGTAATAACATCGCCCGTTAGATGGCACCAAGCATGGTCACACGGCGCCCGCCGCTCGCGTTAACGCCGCCAACTGCTCTTCGCCGACCCGTATTTTGTCCTCGATTTCGCGCGCGTCCACAATCAGCTTAGCCTTCATCTGCACGAAGTGCTGATACTCGGCAAGCTCGTCCGCGCTGAGATACCGCTCCAGACAGGTGTCCACCTGGCGGCGCCGATGGCTAACTTCCTCCTCCAGCACGCGCGCCTCCCCCAGCTGGCTGCGCAGTTTGTCTCGCTTGTTGGTCAGGTGGGCCTGACGGGAGGGTTGCGTGGTTTCACAGCCGCAGAGCACAGGTGAAGAATACAGCTGCAGAGCACAGGTGAAGAACACAGCTCGAAGTTGATCAGGATAGTCTGACCGCTAGCTCCAATAGAGTTGTCAGTTGGAGAACTCACAAACCCGCTTGTTTGGGCGAAATGTGAACACAGAATCAATTAGTTCAAACAGCGCCACAATAGTTCCACTATCCGGCAATCCGGACCCTCTTAACGGCGTCTCCCCCACGCAGTGATCAGCATCCGTCGAGACCGCCATTCACCTTCTCCTCGACGCAGCTTTCAGGCAGCGCTGCGAGCGTGGCCTGCGCGCGCGCCAGCCGTCCGCCCAGCCCCAGCAGCAGTCTGGTGATGGTGCCGATCTGTTCGACGCACGTGCGGAAGCGAGCCGCCTCCGACGGCCGCGCTGCTCGACACGCGCCGCGACGGCCGCACCCAGCGCCGCGTTCGTCGCGGTCTCGTCCTCGACGCGCGCTGCGCCTCCCGCAGGCCGGCGAGCCGGCTCGATATGCGAGACAACAGCTCGCTCTGCGGGGAGACGGGCGGATACGCCGTGAGACGAGCCGCCAGGTGGCAGTCAGCGCTCTGCGATACTTCAGCGCCGCGCCAGGTCGGTGAGGATCGCGCATATCCAACGGTAACTTGAGGTCCTGTGGACGGCTGCTGTGCTGGGATTAGACTGTATAAGAGCTGTGGGACCAACGTGACCTGCGCACCAACCAGTTATCGCTGCACGGGGGTAACGTAACACCGCTCTGAAGCCGTTTCATTTCCGTCCCAGGTGGCTTGTATTGGCACCATTTACACCATGGTGCAGACATCATAATGACCCCGTCGGCCACACGCGCCAATACACAAATGCACGGTATGAACTGCTCTAATGTGAACGACGTGCCAACACGTGACGTCACAACCACCGGGTGCGGCTTCATCACCATCCTCATCATCATCAATCAGAGCCTCTGAATCGAGCACGTGCCGCGCGAGGGCCGTCACCACGCACCTTCCTGCGTCTGATGTCCTGCACGTCAGGAAGGCCGTTCAGGCCCTGATCGGGGCTGAGCTCCTGCCAGAACTGCGTCAGGAGTAGCGCCTCGGGGCTTAACGGGGTCAGGGGAGCAGAACCGACCGGTGACCGCACCGGTGACCTGCAGACGCCACAGGCGACGTTACGGCCTCCATGGGCGGCAGCCTCGTTTTAGCAACGGAATAGCAGCGACGATTAGCAACGACGGGATGGGCCAGACAACGGGGACAGCAACGGAGACAACAGTCGGCCAAAACTAATCAGAACAGTGGGCCAGAGAGGGACGAGTTCCCACCTATAGCGCTTTGCTTGATGCAGCCGCACGTATGCTTGCACATGTGACTGTGCGGTGTGCAACAGTTCAGATGACGGCGCTGTCGCACTGGCCGGCCGATATGACACCCCCGCCGGTCTCTGTACTCACGGCGTGTCGTCCGTCACCGAGTGTGCCGCTGCCGACGACGGCGCTGACTCCGACCGAATGAGACCCGGTGGGGTGGGCCGGGCCAGCGCCAGGTCCAGCTGCCTCAGGTGCAGCAGCATCGCGGTGCGTTCGTCTCCAACGTCTGCTGGAACGGCGGGGTGTTAATTACAAGCATGATACTTCCCGGGTGGTCCCAACAAGATGAGACCATTTCTTTTCGAATAAATCCCCAGGAGAACGGGTGGGAGCTTTATGGGGATCGGGCACTTCCTCATACAGCAGAATGAGCCTGATATGGGGACCAAAAAACGTTTCAACCGAGAAACCGTTCCCCAGTGCTTTTGTGCGGGCGATCTCCAACTGTTCCCATATCTAAGTGCCTCAAAGTAATCTCGGGAGAGGGGACATTTGAAGAAAACCTACAAACGCCAACTTTACCACTTCGTGAGCTGAAGAGAGCAGTCTCAGACAGGCACGGCAAAACTACGTTCACAAACCACTCCAGACTCCGGCTGGGCTTCCATGTGGCTTTCTGATCACACCATTGCGCTGTTTCTGAGTTGTCACTCTAACGTGCTGACGTTTCTTTCCGTTCAAGTCCGATCGGGACTATGTATAACAGCCGCGTAGCAGCGTAGGGAAATCCTTTAGTTCAGGTCTTTCCACGGCACAAGTCCGGATTTCGGACCCGGCTGATTTGTATATGGGTTTTCATACGATAACGTTTTAACTGGCGGAGTGAAGTCATCTTCACTCTCTGATAACATCTTGTGTTCTAGTGTCCCTCTTGCCAAGATCGTCTTTCATGTCTGAAGAGCCCATATAGGTCAAACGTGTACATCGGTGAGTTATTGAAGAACGAAGGCAATTAACGATCACAGTCAGAATGACCCAGAGGGTATTTTCATTGCAATATGGTGTACCCCACAGTAATTCCTAACATAAATCGCGAGCTTCACGGACAGATAATTGCATCCATTTCCGAATGAATTATTCTGAAAATCATGCAAGCATTTCCCACAATCTTCCAAGCTATGTTGTTGTACAGTCGCAGCTGTCCCCACCCAAAACAGGTACTGGTGACAGTGCCCTTGCCCTGATGACAACCAAGGCCGCACGAAGCAAGCCCACGGTGTACCACAGGCGTCCACATTAAGATGAGTAATTCCGTGACGGCCAGCCCAGTTCCAGAGGGTCTATCAGATGCCAGACCAGTCAGCATCACTGCTCCATCGCTCCTTTGGTTTTTTATCCCGTTTTTTTTCTTCTAGGAAGTTTTTGGCTCCTCCACTCTCCTCACTCTAAGAAGGCAGCGCGCGGCATTCACTGCGCTTAGTTTGGAAGAGCAGCGCGCCATGCGACAAGCAAGGAGACGTATGTACATCTGTCTCGCCCGGCTGACAATGACCGTGACACCAAATCACAGCCGCGGACGGTGGCAGCTTATCGACCGTTTCGCCCGGCTGACAATGACCGTGATGCCAGATCACAGCCGCGGACGGTGGCAGTTTATCAACCGTCTCGCCCGGCTGACAATGACCGTGATGCCAGATCACAGCCGCGGGCGGTGGCAGTTTATCGACCGTCTCGCCCAGCTGACAATGACCGTGATGCCAGATCACAGCCGCGCGAGATGGCAGCTTATCGACCGTCTCGCCCGGCTGACAATGACCGTGATGCCAGATCACAGCCGCGGGAGACAGAAGCTAATCGACCGCGTCGCCCGGCTGACAATGACCGTGATGCCAGATCACAGCCGCGGGTGACAGAAGCTAATCGACCACGTCGCCCGGCTGACAATGACCGTGATGCCAGATCACAGCCGCGGGCGACGGGGGCTAATCGACCGCCTCGCCCGGCTGGCAATGACCGTGATGCCAGATTCATA